TTTTATCGCTGGAATTCTAAATTCAACCTCAATCCCTCAAAAAGCAGCTGAAATTATCCCGGATTAAGAAAGAAAACCAAACATCAAGATGAAAATCGCTTTATGCATAGTCAGCCGAGCCGTAAAACCCACAGTTCACCCAAAATAGATGCAAATCTTGTTACTTTGAGATAACAAAAATGACGAAGTGCCATAGCATCTCTTTTTGCGGAGAATTTATGAACAGAAATTTTCAACCGCATATGAGCTATGCACACCGCAAACAAAACATTTTCAGCGAAGAATGTTGCTTGATTTATTCTGGAAATTGAATTTTGCTGACCTTGCTGGTCTTTTTCTGTTTTGGTTTTTTTTTTTTTTTTTGGTAAATATTGAAATGTGTGCTTTTAACGTGATTTTAGCGTCGTTGTGCTGTGAAGCCTTTAAATTTTCATGTTGGTGATCTTGCCCTAACCACCAAAACTGCGGGTTATTTTGTGTTGGTTTGCGTGCAAACCGAGTTTTAAACTTGCGCTCTAGACCGCAACATTATGTTCGTATTATCCGGTTCTTTCATAATTCGTTAATCTTTACTCTTTAATTACAAGACGGCTATGTTTGAACCACGAAAAGAACCGCAAAAACTCATAAAATAGGCTTTGGTTCTCGATTTTAACCGATAAGATTACAATATTTAAAACTCATTTAGCTGTGGCATGGCGCTTAAGATATTTACATTAAAAACTCTTTGCAAAGTGATTTTCTCTTAATGCCGCTTCTTTTCTTTTAATTCAAAGTCGTTTTCTGTCAAACAGATTTGTTTTTCTCGGTAAATACGGATAGGCTTAGGAACAGTCTTGAATATTCATAAACCCAATTTAAGATTCATTTAATTACACAAGAAAGCAAACATGATATTGTAGAATGTGGAAGCGAAAACAAATTGTCCAAAAGTTTGCTTTTAGGTAGGCTTGTAATTTCTTTAAAGTAAAAAATATTTTAGGTTTTATTTTGTCAGAACTTTTATAGTCTTTGTTTGCAAATGTAAATGCACAAATTAGGTTAAGAGTTAAGAAACGTTGCCAGAGGTATCTCAAAGTCTGTGGTCGATTTCTTCGGTGTAAAATCATTTGCGCAGAAGTTATAATAAATGAAAAAACATAAAATGAAACAATTAATTCCGTTTCTTAACCCATCCGACAAAGATTTTCTTAAATGTTTCTGTGTCTTAATCAAATAACTAAAAACGGGAAAATTCATGCCATTAAGAAAGTGTAAAAAGCTTTTGTCTTCGGTATCGGGAAATTTGAATTTCAGATCCACTTTAAGCAATTTTTACAAAATATTATTATTTACATAAGGCAAAAATCTACTGTCGAATATGAAATATCGGCAGTTTTTGTGTTACTGAGAAATAAGCTTGTATCAAACAAAAGCTAAACAGTAAGATTTTATTTTAATCTATCATTTTTAATTTGGCCGTTTCCAAGCTTTCTCGGTAACTCTCGATCAACATTGAGGAATTGTTTACTTATGTCATTTACACAGGATCTTCCACATTATATGGTGAACGCTTTTTGTTGATTTAAGTTTTAAAGAAAACTTAAATTGTTATTTATTTTGCAGACATTGACCTCGTGTTTTGATTCTTACAGGGGCAATTGAAAAGTTTGACTGTTTTGCATGTATAAATAAAGAGGAAGCCAAAGTAATCTAGCGCTCGCAATTCAGTAGATCTCAGAGCTAATAGTTCCTTTGCAAATTTCCTTTCCCTTTCAAGGGATCCATTTTCAGCGCTCCTTAAAAGCCGATTAATTCATCTAGATTACGCCGAAAGCAGACAGGGTTTGAGTGGTTTTAACAAGATTCAGAAGATTTCGTATGCGCACAGTTCCGCCTCATAAGTTTTGCCAAGAGATAACGGGCAACCTCAAAACCAATGATGGATGAATCATGCATGAATTGGCTCAGCCTTTGAAAGCGTTGGAAATGTGTCGTGTGATTTAAATATTTCCTTCAAAAAAGTGTAAATTGGCGTGAAAAAAGCGAAAAAATTGATTGTCCTTGAATCTAGGAGAGTCGTCAATTTACATGTAGGGTCCAGTAGGTGAGCTACCATCAAAACTTTATTTCGGCAATTTCTTTGTTCACTTGTGATTTGTAAAGCACTGGTAAATAAACTTTCAGAAGGCGTCTGTTTGTTCGCCGTCAATCGATTACTTTTAGTGTTTATGGTAGCTAAGCAGTTTCACAGTTCATTGAGGAACAAAACAAAGCGACGCCTTCGAGGCGCAAAAAGTCATAATTTACGTTTTCATCGCAACAACGTTTTGACAAAGAAATCTGTCCACGACGTCGGTGTTATTTTTGGCCATGGATAATTTTACCGAAGTGAACATGGTCATGAAGCAATACTGGTCTCTTTTGAGGTTGCGCGGTTTGGATGATATTGGCGAGTGATGGTCTTGACAGATCTATTTTCATTCCTTGATTGCTTTCAGCACTAAAAACAGCTTTGTACTCAAAGTGCTTGTCTGTCCCTGATCGCCCTTAGCCTGAGCTACTGGCTAGTAGAGGAACTTGAAAAAGCGGGAGAGGATTTTATTATCGGGACCATCGATAAGAAAATATTTTCAAGCAGCTGTATTTTCAAAACAGTTCCATTTTATCAGGCATGAATTATTGATGCAGCTTTAAAGTAAATAAGTTCTGGCTGACTGCCTTCATTCAGCGCTGATAGATTTGCGGTTTTGTGGGACTCACTCAGAACACAACGCAAACAAAACAACTTCTGTCTGCGTTATTAAGCACGTCCGCTGCTTTCAAATGATTGAGTTCCGCTCGGTCAACCACATATTGTCATCGACCAATGTAGTGCGCGCGTTGTCATCAGGTTGTCTTATTTCAATATTTGGCGAGCAGCTTTGACCAAATATTCATTTAAAATTACGAGCCGTGTTTTGTTTTGTTGTGGGTTCAAGTTGGCAAGGGGCACGAATCTTATAGTCCAGGGTTCATCGTATCGCCAAAGGGATATTTTTTTTTGTTTTTGTTTTTGTTTTTTTTTTTTTACAGAAAACCAAATTTCGTCCACAGCATGATCTTTAAAGTTGTCTCCGTACTGGCGGATGCATTTATAAGGAAGTTATTTTCCAGCGCTTTTGTTTTAATTTCAGTGCGTCTGTGGAGATTTTTCCTTTTGCATTAAGTCGTTTAAAACCAGCCGCGGTCGCGAACATCTGCACCTGGATGAAAATGTCGTGCTAAGTTGATAAACGGTCTTCTTTGTCAATTTGGCCAGCACCTTTAAATAATAGAAAAAAATAAAATGTTTAAGATGCCACAAACATGCCTTCGGCACGAATTGTCTCGCTAGGAGAGTGAGGATATTTTTCGTGCTTCGTGGAAAGTAAATCTCAAAAATTGGTATGACATGCGCATTGGGGATATAGTGTCACCTTACTCTCTAATGCGAGCGGATGATGTGAGTGTTGATAACACATAAAACCCGCTCTGTAGGTCGGAACTTAGTGCGTGTGAGCGAAACACAATATTCTTTAGAAATCGTATGCATTATCAATTTCAATCAGGCTCCGAGTGTCTGCGTAAACAATGCACGCTGAATAATCCACGACTCTATTTTACATTAGAGTTTTAGACGGTCAGAGCCACTTTGATTACTCGAGGGGCAAATCAAACCAGTCTAAATGCTCTTTGTGGCTTTTCAATAAGTCTAAACAACCAAAGCGGCTGTACTAAACGTGTTGAATAACACGGGTTCCCGTGTTTTGACTTTCGTGTTGTCCTGAATCCTTTGAACAATGATTCGTGTTTGCTTCCTGACGACTAAATCTTAAGCTGGTTTCAATTGCTTCAGGTTATAGAGTCCTTGCACGTGTCATTTATGATAAACATCAGATTCTGTAGCTAAATTGGTCAATTGTTATCAGTTCAGTTTGTCTATATCACCCAAACGTAAGCTCTAAAGTTGGCCCCGAATTAATTCAACCAATCGAGGATCGCGACAACTTGACCCTGTGTTGTTGTCGCTCATAAATAGCCCCACGTGATTCTTGTGTTTTTCATTACAATTCTCAAGTCATTAGTGCGATTAGACTCTGTAATTTACGTAATTACACCATCACTAATTAGCAACACTCATCTCGCGATTATTGTGTTAATTAAGCTTTTATCTTTAGAACTCAATGTGTCTTTGCGGCGTCAAGCCGGCGCCCGAGTGCTATATATTTGCGAATGCCCGCCGGGAGTAATTCAGTAAGATGGGAGATTACAGATCCGCTTTCTCCCACATTCAATTTCTTGATAACAAAATCAAATATTTTATGAGGGACTCGGCCAGTACATACGTATTAAAATTATCAATTGTCAGAATAATTTTCTGTGTAGTGGGAAGACTAACGCGCTGAAGCGCTCGGTAAATATTGGATCGAGGAGCTTTTTTCGATCTAAGACAGGGCGTTTTCAGTCGTCTTTCGGCGAAAACTCCAGAAACAAGCGATTTATTCACGCATCATGGCGCAGCCAAAAGACTGTGAAACGTGATCTAAAACGCTATCTATTTTGACCACCAAGATGCAAGACCCTGTGCAATTTGTGAAAGGAAGTCGCGAGTGATTGGTCAATGCGGTAAAATTGCTGATTTCCATTGTTTGGTTTGGCGATATTGGAAACCAATTTACAAAGCGTTCATTTGAAGAACTCGCTGTGGGCGGACCACTTCTTTTGTCAACACTATACCACGTTACTTTGATTGACATCTCAAGCAGCTCGTTAAAGTCTGAATGACACCCTTGATCTCATTAAGGCGGCAAGAATGCAGGTGTTTCGGGTGTTTTTTCACACACTCTTAACGTTGATTGGGCCTTGTTTACCCCACGAGATGACACAAAACCACGTGGGATATTTCTGTCCCTGAGTCATGTTTGATTGGTTTTGACTAGATTGGCAATAAATATAGATTAAACACTTTCCATATATGGTGTTCCCCCTGGGGTGTTATGGTGTTACATGTTGGTGGACCGCGTGCCGCGTTTTCCCGTGTCATTTTGCTGTGTCGATTTCAACGCTGATATTTGTTCAAGTTTCGTCGCTGAGTTGTGGACTTAAAGCGTGGTAAACTTTTCGTCCGAAGCGGCCAAAAACGATTCTACTCCAACTTACTGTGTGACTTAATTCAAAGTGTCTAATCGATAGAAACGATTTGCACCCGAGCCCACTAGTCGTTGGTAGCGACCCGAGCGTGAACAAACGGTTCGCGAAATGCTTGAGTACTTCAATATGCTGTGTTGAGACAACTTATTGTGAGTGTGTGGAAAATTTGGACTTCGCTTAACTCGCGCCTTTCTGGCTATCACTGAACAAGGCTATCAAGGATTGTCGACCAACATGTATCAAAGTCGACATACGGTAAGTGAAAATTCGTGTTGAAATGGTAGTTATTGTAAAACAGGCTCTCGTAATGTGACACCCCGGCTCTTTCACAAGTCGAGCTCAAAAATCGTAATTTCCTCCCTCTCCCAGACACCGCATCAACCTTCCGGCCAACCATTCAAGTTTACTGTAGCCGATTCATGCGATCGCATCAAAGAAGAATTTAACTTTCTTCAAGCACAGTACCACAGGTAAGTTCTCAAGTCTGTTGATTACTGTTCCCTGCATGAATTGACCGACCCGAAAACATCATTTGTGTTCGTAGAAGTTTGGCGCGTTAAAGTTTGGCAAATGGCTTATGAGGCGTGAATTTCGATTTACGATGTGATGCCCAGCGAAAAGGGTCTTCAGAAGCCCCTAGCTCGGCGTATAACTTTAATTTATTTTAGAAGCATCGAGCCATTATGTCATGTAAAGTTAATCTTATCGTAGGCTTTCAACACAATATTTACATTGTACTGTTTTCTTGCTTTTAGCTTGAAGTTAGAGTGTGAAAAGCTAGCAAGCGAGAAGACAGAGATGCAAAGGCATTATGTTATGGTAAGCAAGATCTTTTCGATGTTACGTGCTTTTATCCAGTATTTTGCTCATGTCAACCTCAAGGACCTTTCGATTAACACGCGCGCACATCTTTGTAGCCTAAAAATTGTGTATTCACGAAATACGAGCTCGGGCTACTTTTGTTATTTGGAAAGCAAAAAACTATTGAGCCAGTCATCTTTGCTATTGTTTACTTTTCTGTGACGTTAGAGGTTTTGGCCTCAAGATGTGAATACCAAGTGTTCGTTTATATTCCCGATAAGGTTTGTATTAGGTTAATAGCTTTTCTGACCGTGTAGCCCAAGGCCTTTTCCTTCTAATTGTGTAATAATGGAGTCGCCCCGCTGTAATTAATTTGCAATAGATAGTTGATCTGTATTTGTGGAAGAAATTTAGCTCGGCGTTTTAATCTTGTAATCCCAAGAAATCGGCTAGCCGACTTGTATAGTGTATTGTTCAGTAGCTACAAGCAGATGTGTTCCTACGGAGCATGTTGGGATTAAAGATTTGAATCTAACCCCACGTTATGCCGACATTGCATGTCACTTACAACGTTCAGTGAGAACGCTTCTCGGAAAGTTCACACTTCAATGACGTTTGTTTTTATTTTTTCTTGCAGTATTACGAGATGTCATATGGACTCAACGTGGAGATGCATAAACAGGTCTGTAACACTACGTGACAATGTGATAGAAAGTGGGTTTGCCAGTGATGGTTCCTACAATGTAAATTCCTCTCAACGAGATCAAGAAGTCATCTTTTTGGCGACATCACTTGATACGACCACTCGTTGAGATAAGCCGTTGATAGATAAACGAGCGAATTATTTTTGGCAAGCTTTGCTGACATTCATCCAGTCCGAAAGACAAACACTATTGAACGGAAATGTGGACTTGAAAGTATGTCCTTGAGTCGCTTTATCTCCCGCAAAATTAAGGATTAAATTTTTGGCATGGTTTATTCATCAACAGTCTTGCATTACACCTTAGACAAACTTTGAGGCGACAACCTCTAATGGTTTACATTTTTCCTTTCCGAAATGCAAATTAAAATCTACTTGAAGCCTTGACTTCTCAAACAGCCTGGTAAATTGGTGTCCTAATATAAACAAGAATGGCTACGGAAGAATTAATTGCAAATTGAATACAAAGCCTACGGTGAATACAAGATACTTAAACGTTCCGCTGACGGTTTTAGAGGCTTTTTAAAATATGTCAAGCTTTCTATTCTTAATTGTAGCTCGTGTAAATTTGTTTATTTTGGCACAAGTCGTTTGCATAGCCCCTCACCTGCTCGGGGCTAGAACGCTCTCGTTCGATCGCCTGTGCGCTCACGCCGCGGCCATATTAGTGCGCGCTCGAGCTGTAATCTAATAATCCGTTATGGGAACTGAATACCAAGATTAAGCGAGAGAGTAAAGCAGATCAATCAGCCATGTCATGCGTCTGTCATCCCAAAGGGATTTATATTGTCATCACGTTGTCTTTGTCGTGGTGTTAATTTAATGCAGGTTGTAGTCGCGTCAATGTATGTAATTGTCGGGACGTGATATGTCGAATATGGCTCTGTTTACAAGGTGGTCCCTAATTTTTGTGTGATCACCTTGCGGGTGAGCCAACAATTTCTTACTTAGAAAATATTCATAATCAAAATAATTTAATGTGATTGGAAGAATTGATGTGTCCAATCTCAGTACTGCAAAATGTGCTTTTACTTCTTGGTGTTAAAAAATGAAGAGCAAAGGTTGAGAAAGATGAAATTAACCAAACTGGTTGTTTGTGAAGCCTCATTGGGTATTTTTTTATGGTTTAGAGGATACAGCACAGTTTGCACTTAACGATAAAATTACTCAACTGTGAAAGGAAGTCGGTTTGTTAAACATTGCTTCCTCCGCAGAATAACCACAAAATTGAGCAAATTTCCTATTCAGACAGCTCTCTGGTGTGTAACAATTTTAAGCAACAGGAAAAATATGATCAATTATGGAAACAAAGAATTCTTCTAGAATAATCAACGATGTGATCTCTGTTGTGTTTTCATTACTTGTAGGCTAATTTGAGGGATGGTTTTGTTACTGCATGGACGTAAAACAGTCTCATTCAACTGTCTTTCTTGTCATTGTTTTGTTTTTCTCCTAGATTTTTCTTAATAATTTATATCAATGTGTGCAAATTATTGTTAAATATCATTCATATTTAAATCATACAAACTTATGGGAAAGTTGATATTTGTTTATTTTAATTTTTTTCAGACAGAGATAGCTAAAAGGTTAAATGCAATCTGTGCACAAATCATACCATTTCTCTCTCAAGATGTGAGTATTGCGTGAGTCCACTGATAAGCAGAAATGTGTTCTGTTTTATAGTGAAAGGGTGAATATTTCTCTTTCATGTGCTTCTCTTGCGACCTTTTAAATCAAGTACAGAAGGTGTGACTGACAGACTAGTGAATGAGTACACATCATCATCATCACATGCTGTCATTAATTACTAGAAGGTTCAGCAATGGGGTGGTATAGGTAATCCCCTAATCTCATCAACAAATGGTTCCGCAGGGTCTCCAAAAATCTTGATCTTTCTCTTCTTTTATTGGCGGCTTACTTTGATGCATTTTTTATATACAAAGTGTGATTTGATATAGTTTGTAGTATTCTCCAGTGTTGACACAAAAAGTTCTCAGCTCATGTCTGTCAAAATTGATAGCCTATTTATTATTACGAATATTTTTTTAAGAAGAGTTCCTTTCAACAACCTCCAGGGTTTGTTAATGTAGAGCTGTTTGTCATCAAACAAGGCCACTGTGGGGTGATTTAATGAAGATTTTGCCTGCACATATTGTAATATAAATTCCAAAATTCCAGTACCAATTGGCTACTGAATGATTGCACTAAATATTACAGACATGACACAATTCACAAAGATTACCTGAAAGATTGAGTTTGTGAACATGGAAATTGAAACAGTAGTTACATGATAAAAACAATTTGGAATGTAAATAAAGTTTCACTCAATGATTATTAATTCTTCATGCAGACTAATCTGAATTGGTTCCAGTCAAGGAGAGTGGAAGTCACTTTGGCCATGAAGAATGCATTTAAGCAAGTTCTAGAGCTGTCTTTCAACTATTATAATTTTACCTAAATTGTGATTAAAGTTTTATTGAGATACTTTCCTATTAAATGATTTTAACAGATTCGTTTTCATGTTTTGTCGATTTTGTTTAGTGCTAATCTTTTTGTGTCCGATTCTTTTTATAGCACCAACAACAAGTTGCAGCAGCAGTAGAGAGAGCCAAACAGGTGACGATGACCGAATTGAATGCCATTATTGGGGTAAGATCTCAACCATTACCCTAAGTTTTCGAGATGGAGGGGAGGTGGGAACCAGGGAAAGTATTAAAAAATGGGAAGGAGATTTGTGGGGAAAGAAAGTAGGAGAGAAATGTCAGAATGCAAGTATTCATCAATGATTAACCCTTTACACCCTAACATCAATATGCGTATTCTCCATACTGTTCTCTATACATTTCTTGAGGGTCTGAAAAGGAGAATTTGTTTAACAGTCAAGAGTTCTTTAGTTGTTGATCATTTCTCTTGTTCTCATTCCCTTAATGTTTGATTCAGGGCTGATATTGTAAGGGAGAACTGGATGCCAGTCACTCTTAAGGGTTAAAGGGTAAAGTTTGTATTCACTGTTTTGTAACAAACAATTGAGGATTGGAAACAAAGGTTCAGAATATGGATGAGAAGCATATAGGAGGGGCTGATTATTACCCCTGTCCCCACCCATGTAGCTCAAAGTGGGGTTTGAGAAAATGTTAAAGTTGTGAAAAAAGTTTGAAGTCTTAAAAAAAAAGGTTAAGTCGCAAAAAAAAGTTAAAGTCATGAAAAAAAAGTTGAAGTCACAAAAAAAGTTTAAGATGTGAAAAATAGTTGAAGTTGTAAAAAAAAAAGGTGATGATAATACGTGATGGCACTAACTGGGCTCTGTAACATAGAGACAAAGATTGTCACCTGTTTTGGTGCAGTAAAAAATATACTTTGTAAAAGATGTTTTCATTGAATAGGATAAGGGATGTTTTATGGCTGGTGGTTTTTTTGCCATTGTTAGGTACTGATTCTAAAATTTTAAGTCTTTGTAAAATTAATGGACCACATAATTTAATTGAGCGCTGAGAATTCAGTGCTATGATGCAGGCACAATATCTACCACCTGGAAATTTTATCTCTTATATCATTTTCCCCATTGAGAATGTATTGATCAATATTTCATGAGAAGAATTCCAAAACAAGTCAGGTTTGAAAATGATAGGAAACTGTGTTAGGTACTTGGAGATATTGTTTGTGTGCTGAAATTTCCTTTTTCTTGCATTGGAATGTGAGTGATATATTATATTGTACATCAAAGATCAAAAAGGGTAAGACAGACCTTCAGGCGAACAAGTAGTAGCTAAAGGGTGTTAACTTTTTTTTCTGTGGCAAAACAATTGTATGGCTTTTTAGAGCTTGTTTTCCACATGAAGCTTGTTGTGATATTGATATGTACTAGGTAAATTGTGATATTCAATCAATATTAGGCCCTAGACTCAGTAATTTTGTAATTATCTTTAAGTACAGGTTTGCCAGATAGACGAAAATGAGATAAAGGTGTCGTGGCACTTTTCAGCTAAATGCAGAACTGACACTCACAAATTCTAATGTTGATTTTTATCTATTCCTGAGCATCTGGGCTGGTAATTTAATCAGCTTTCTTTGATAAATGAGCACTCGAATAGTTTAAAATGTTTATTTACCTTTTGTCTGAGTTAGCCTTTTGTTATTTTTGGCTCAAGTTCCACTGAAGTATGCCTAACTGCTGTATTATACTGTTAGGGTAAATGTTGCTTTGTATGTGTTTAAATAGCCTTACAGTGTTGACAGAATCTTAGGAATGTGCCCCTCTAATCAGATTACTAGGTATTAAATTCTGATACATTCTTTTTTTGGATAATCTGATCATCAAGAAGAGGTCTGAAACAAGAAACCATGCTCAATTTAAAGAGATAATGAGTTAAAGAAAATCTTTTAAACTGATGAGTGGTAGAAGGATTACACTGTTTGAGTTCACCAGTTGTTCTGCTATCTGAAAGGTAGTTTTGTTCAAAGGAGGCTAGTTTTGTTAGCATGATACAAAGTAAATGTAGCTTTTCTCTTAGTGAACTGAAGGTGATGATGTAATAGCAAGGCTTGACTTGTCCAAAGTCCTATTCTGTTCAAAAATATTTTCTTTCTGTTGACATATGGTGGATAGTGTTAATGGATTCTTGTCTATTGTTACCATCTTGCTGGAGTCACCTTGTTATCACTGTAATCTTGAACAAATAACCACTTATGCTAAATGAATTTTGATCTTTGGACCTTGAAAATAGAAGAGTGATCTGGCATCTAGAATTTTTTACAATATTGTTATTAGTGTATTGAGCTTTGCAAACTTTTACAAGCTGAATATTTATGGAGCATTCAACTGATCATTACTTAGTACTATAAACAGCAGAGTTCCAATTCTTCAAATATGTATTATCTTCCCTACTCTTCCTGATGGCTGCAGTGCTGGGGGCCATGATAACAAAGTTATTTTTGTTTGTTCCCAAGAAGTTTAAGTGTTTTTGCTCAGTGGTATCACAGGAGGGGCTATTGGAGGCTATTTTTGAATTAAATTTGGAATGTTTTTTCAACCATCACCCCCCAGTGTTAGTGCCATGATTTTGTGTCATGCTGAGGGGTGTACACCTTTTTGTCACTCAGTTTGAGAAATCTTGTGTGAGTGACATCCTCTTGAAGGCTTCCATGACTCCTCAAGCATATCTCTTCAATAAACATTTATTTAAAATTCAGTTATCCCAATTGCAGCTGGGCTGTGCTTCAGTTTTGTTATAGAGCATTTTAAAGCTTTTCATGTTTGAGCTGTGTGAGGGTCAATGCATTCCTTCTAGTAAATATATTGTAGTTGTCAAAAGTGATAAGAAATAAAATAGTTAAGGTTAAAATTCAGTTCGTTTCTATCTACAGCAACAGCAACTCCATCAGGGTCTACAAGGTCTCCATGGCCATCCTCCCACAATACCACTGCCCCACCCTGGTGCCACGCCCCCACAGCTTCCACCTGGGGCTACCTCAGGACTTCTTGCTCTTTCCAACCTGTCAGTTCAGCCTCCTCATTTGCCTATGATGAAACCTGAAGACAAAGGTATTAGACTTGAAGAATAGGTTTCCTAGAGATCTTTTGGAAAGACCCCTCAATCAGGAGGAAAAATTATTATGTAAACATGTTTATTGAAAAGACCTTAAATGCTGCCTTACCCAATTGTGGTTCTGAAGGGTTTTGGCTGTTTACATAGTTGTTTTTGTTCCTCAAGTGTTTTCTGTGTAGAGTAACTTTGTTTGTGTTGTAAGATTCCCTAGCAACCCTCAGATTTCAATGGACTTTCCAACTGTAGTAAAAACAAGTCTCTTTTTGTAACTGGTCTTTGTTTTTTTTGGTACTTTTTCTAATTCAGTTTTTGTTCTTTCTTTTATGTTCCGTTCATCCCACTAGATGGCATGGTAAGAGTATTTTCACTACTATTTTCACCACTTTCAATTATTTTTTTGGTGTTAAAGGTCTCTATTTTTTCTTTGCTAATCATAAATTTTCTTTTAGAATTCCCTCTCGCCGCTGGGACACATGCGGTCATCAGAAAAATACAGAGCATCTGACTTGTCATCACATGGTAGTGATGATGGACACATGGACAGGGAGCGAGAAAGAGATAGAGAAAGAGAACGGGAAAGAGACAGAGACAGAGACAGAGATAGAGACAGAGACAGGGAAAACAGAGACAGAGAACGTGACAGAGAAAGAGACAGGGATCGCGACAGAGAAAGAGAACGAGAAAGACATGTTAATGGTGAGTGCACATTCGAAGGTGATGCTACTGCTGTCTCACAGATTTGCTCTCTGGTAGAACTGGGCTCAATTTAAATCGTATTCTTATTCTGTTTTCTTCTCATGTTTTGCTAGGAACAAAGAATAACAGCAAAAGAAAGAGAGATGACAAAGATTCAGGGGTAAGGACATGCTGTGTACTCAACTGTATGGTTTTTAAGTAATTAAATAAGTACATTTATTTATTAATATATTTGGCTCTTTTCAAGGAAAGTGATGCAGAAAAAAGTGATGGTGATTTAGTTGTGGATGTCTCCAATGAGGTAATATTCTGTGGACTATTGTTTAATTTATTTTGTTACCAATCTGAAGATGTTGGAGCTTAAACATATTACTCCTCCATTACTCTTACAGTGCTTTCTAGAAGGCTTTGCAAGTAGTTAGAAGGACTCTCCTGTTTGCTGAGGCCTTTCTTTGTGAAATATGTAGTCATTTCTAATTAACTTCAACACCTTATATTTTTTTCAAGGATGCTAATTCTCCCAGAGTAGAAAATGGACCTGACTCACCCCCTCTAAGTGACAAAAAAGTTAGGAAAGACTCTGGATCTCCTACCAACCCATCTTCATCTTCATCAACACCTTCATCCAAACACCCAAAGGTAAACACTTTTTGCTTCTGGTTTGCCATGTTGCAGTTTGACTTCATTGCTTATTACTTGATCATAATGTATTGGCTGAATTTTACCCCTGCAGTCTGAAAGCAAAGCTGTGCTTGAAAGACAAACATCAGAGACAGGCTCATCTGGAAGGAAAAGCCCATCAAGATCATCACCTTCGGTCAAAACACCAGTCGGTGAGTTGTGTTCTTGTGTAAAGACTGTCATTCTGATTGCCATTTCTTTGCACTGAAAGGCAAAAATAAAACTGTGTTTTCTCAAACATCTCTTCTTTGCTGCCTGAGCCATACTGTAGGTCTTCAATTTTGTGTTTTTCTCCTTTGTGTCTTCATTTTATTGTAATAACTTTAACAAAAGATGGATAAGAAAACATTGGCTAGAAGGTAGTCATCACAACAGTACTGTGGTTTTTAATGTAAATAGTGATAAGTATTTAATTTGTTTGTGTATCCAATAATTCCAGCTGCACCAGCTGTGAGGCCAGCAATGTCCGTACCAGGAGGACCTTACCCATATGTCAATGCTATTGCTGGGTAGGAATTCACTTTGTGTTGAAAAAGTATTTGTTGCTCAATTATTAAATGTGAATAAAAATGTTACTCAGGTTGTCATGAGTGTAGAGAGTAGTAACAACTGAGTTCTTAACAAGGTTCTTCTTCATTCCATGCTTTTTGCAAAAAAAAAAAACTTACTTTATTCGAAGACCAAGCTCAAAATTTGCCATCTCTTTAGAACCTTTGACCTTTAAGAGTGACTAGCATCTAATTTCTTCTTACATTATCACCCCTGAATCACACATTAAGGTCACCAGAATAAAGGAAATGATTATCAACCAAAGAAGCCCCTGATTGTTTTCTAAATTCTCCTTGTCAGCACCTTAGGAAAAGTATTGAGAACAGTGAGGAGAGTATACATGCTGTTGTTAGGGTGTGAAGGGTCAAGTGATGTGAAATAGATTTGTGGGAACTCAGCTATGGTAAACCTCACAGCACTGAGTTTGATGAGCACAGTCTTTGCAGATGTTACTCACAATGTATGAAGAACTCTATAACTTTGTTGAGAGATTTATTGAGGGATTTCTGCACTTTTGGAAGGAGGTTGTTGTCTTTATCAACAATGAGTATTCGAAAAGTAATTTTTCTCTATTCTAACAACTTTCATTTGCAGTGAACTTTCAAGTCCGACATCATTTTCACCCTCAGTGATGACTCCAGGAATGTCTGCCAGTGGAATTGGTTATGGTAGATCACTGGTATGAAATTGTTTAGTTTCTTTCAAGCAAAAGTTAATTTACCCTCATTATTGTCCACTGCCTTGTCTAGGAAGTTGTTTTAGGGCAAATTTTATCCTAAGGAATTATTATGAAATGCTTTTTCTACTGTCTTTGTCAAAGACATCCCGACCATACCTTGTTATCATGTGATGATTTTGCTCCTGGTGTTGGTGCAGTGTCAGTGATTTGGTCATCGAGCCCTGTTTGAGATATGAATGGAAAATTTTCTGTTGATTTATCTAGTTGAGATGCAGCTAGCCTTAATTTTAAAAATTTGTGAAAGTTAACAAGAGGTTGTGCTCTAAATCTGGATAAAAATACAGCCTATGCCATTTAAATCTGGTCAGATAACTCTTTGCATGAAACTCCTATCTCCTTTTTAAACCCTTTAACTACCAAGATCTGACCTAAGTTCTCCCCTCTGGCTGCTACAAATTTTCCTGTAAATTAGTGAGAACTATTCTCATCACCTGTTTGCTGGAAAATTTTTGGATATTACAGGGAGAAAGTACATGTAGTCAGTTCTGGAAGTTTAAGGCTAAAAGATAAGGTCAATTCCAAGTTGTGTTAAAGTCATGTTAGACACCTCTTTGTAGTGTTTGACCTTTGAAAATTCACATTTGAACAGGTTGGCTTTGAACATGGTTCCCCTGCGACAAGAGTTGGTATGCCTCCTCTGGGACCAGGTCTCCCTGCAGGACCCCCAGGGGGTAAACCTGCATATTCATTTTATGTCAGTGGTGATGGCCAAATGCAAGCTGTACCATTTCCACCTGATGCGCTGATTGGTTCAAATATCCCACGGCATGCCAGACAGATCAATCAACTTAATCATGGGGAAGTAGTCTGTGCTGTCACGATAAGCCATCCAACTCGTCATGTTTACACAGGAGGAAAAGTAAGAATCATATCCTACATGTAAATGACTTCATTTGGTTTTTGGGTTATCATAGGTAGCTAAGCAATGACAATTTTTTGTTTCAAGGGATTATTGTATGGAATGATGTTTAGTAATGCAATTTTTCCTTCTTCTACAGGGCTGTGTCAAAGTGTGGGATATTGGTCAAAGTAGTGGGAAAAGCCCGATATCAACATTAGAATGTTTGGTAAGCAGTTAATAAAGTTCATATTTGCACCATTGAGAGGGTGAGATAATATTCAAATTCTTAGCTCATCTTATATTGTCTACATTGCCATGGTTGTTGGGAAAAAAAAACAAAACATACTCTACACTAGGTTTTGATTTTTGTTGGGCTTGTCTTAAGAACTTGAAACTTTTTACAGAAAAATAAATCAGGTTGAATCAGCCACAAATCTTCAGTTTTTCTTGTGACTGTAAGACTAAGTAGCAACCTAATTTATATTTGTGTATTTTTTTGGCAGAGGGATAACTACATTAGATCCTGCCGACTGTTGCCTGATGGAAGAACATTAATTGTTGGTGGTGAAGCTAGTACTCTAACAATTTGGGATCTGGCCTCGTCACAACCTCGTATAAAGAATGAGTTAACTTCAAATGCACCAGCATGTTATGCATTGGCAATAAGTCCAGACTCCAAAGTTTGCTTTAGCTGTTGCAGTGATGGAAATATTGCAGTTTGGGACTTGCATAATCAAACTTTAGTCAGACAATTCCAAGGTCATACAGATGGTGCAAGTTGTATTGATATTTCACCAGATGGGACCAAGTTATGGACTGGTAAGGAGGTGTTTTTTTTTTTCTGACCAAATAATTTCCTAGCACACATCTGTCATTAATTGCATCATTCTGAAACTATCGATTAAAAAAACCTTAAAAGATACATGCTCTGTTTATGTGGTTGAAGTTGTTTCACAAGTTTTGTATGTGTTGGTATTTTTTTTAGCCTTTAAACTCCCAAGGTCTGATTGTTAATTCTCTTCTCTAGTTGCTATACATTTCTTTGTAAATCCCTTTACAAGAATTTGGTGTTAGATCAAGATAGCAACTTAAACCTGATGAGTTTAAGTATTCTTGTTACCTGTTTGCTGGATAATGTATGGATAATTAAAGGGAGAAGTTACATGTTAATTACTTCTGTGAGTCAAAGGGTTGAAGATTTTGTAGGCAAATGCAGTTTCTGTGTGGTTCCTTCTATCAGTTTTACAAAGGGATGTGGATATATTTGCCAGTGACCATCTTTGTCTGCGTTAAAGTTTTATTTTTTTGTACAATAAATTATTTCAGATCACTATTAATTAATCTGTTCTTTCTGACAGGTGGTTTAGACAACACAGTAAGATCTTGGGATCTGAGAGAAGGCCGACAACTTCAGCAGCATGATTTCACATCACAGATCTTCTCATTAGGGTATTGTCCTTCTGGCGATTGGCTGGCTGTAGGGTAAGTAATGATCAATTCTTAGAGTTTCCTTACAATATCCAATACATATCAATCAGTTCTGGATTGTGAAATAATGTTAATTAATGTTGCTTCACATGCATTGGTGATATGGGACACTTGTTTGAAAGTTTTGTTTGGAATACTGATGTTAATAATTATTCTTATTCTGGAACTGACACATTAAAAATTGCAGTTTAAAATCTTGCAAGAGGCAAAACTAAACAGAACTTTTGTTTTCCTTCCCTAGGATGGAGAACAGTAATGTTGAAGTACTTCACCAGACAAAACCAGACAAGTATCAGCTCCATCTGCATGAAAGTTGTGTTTTGTCATTAAAGTTTGCCTACTCTGGCAAGTGGTTTATTACGACAGGCAAAGACAACTTGCTGAACGCCTGGAGAACACCCTATGGAGCCAGCATCTTTCAGGTTTGTAGAGTTTGTTTAAAAGCTAAATAGCTTGCTCTCGTTTATTTTTCTAAACCCTGGTTTCTGTTTACTTACAGTCAAAAGAATCGTCATCTGTCCTGAGCTGTGATATATCTACAGATGACAAATACATCGTAACAGGATCAGGTGATAAGAAAGCAACCCTCTATGAGGTGATATTTTAAATGTGTGAGGTACAATGTACCGATAAAAATAAACAGGACTGATTTTTGTCCCTCCTGTGTGAAATGAATGGATAGACGGCACATCAGAATCTGCGTCAAGAAGGATCAAAGTAGGACTGATTGTGCTATGTACATGGATGTTCTTGCACAAAGTCTGAAAAGCACATGTACAGATGCATTGTTTGGATGGAGTACGGTTTTTTGTAAGACATGATTTTGGATAGAACACTTTTCACTTGCTTGTAGAGTTCATCGAGACTTGGATTGTCAATATGTTTGTTGTGTCAGTTAAAGACCCATGGCCTCATCTCATTTCTAGTTACCACATGGGTGTGTCTTATTCACAGCTTATTCCTTCTGTGAAAGGCATAGCAACAACTATCCAGTCATTTCTACTTGTGGAAAAATATGTGGAAATTTTAGTTGTTATGCTTAAAGTAACTGCCTCAGAGGAGAGGGGATTGGGCAGTTCACGAAAGAAAGAGTCTACCAGAATTGAACTATTAAGTGTGTGAATTTTGTCAGATATCACTCAAAGAAAACTTAGTATATGATGATAAAGAGTGAATCTTTTTTAATGTAAAATAAGTTTTAAAAGATTGAGCATATTGTAAAAAAAATCCCCCCAAGGTTAAACAGCTGCCTAGTTTTGCATGTGCATATCTTTCATGCATCTTCTTTTGTTAAAGACTGCTAACATTTGCAAAAACATTAGAATTAAATAAAGTTCTTGGAATTTGTGTTTGATTCGTAGTTTTGCTTATTTATTATCTTCATTACAACAAGGGGGCAGTATTGTAACTTTTAAGGTGTAAAAATTCAGTTTTAAAGCATGTGATTTACAGAAGTAAATTGGTTACTCATCTCACAACACAATCAGTTCAGGTCTGTACCGTGGCTTTTAATCATGACCTTTATTTTTGACTTGAGGATGATACCTTACAGAGATACTGTACAGAGATACAGAGATACTGTACAGAGATATTAGAAGCCTGTCAATCTGAGGGGTTAAGGTGTTAAACTAAGTTGACTAGTTAAAGCTGTTGTTTCTGATCAAGTTTTGCATTTACAGTTTGCTGAAACCTGAAATCACCTCTTGGTGGCTGGTAATTTTCATCTTTTTATCACAAAATTAGGTTCACTTCCTTTTCTTCCTGGCAGCATTTGCCTGTCTTAGTTTTATCTTTCTTAATCTTCTCCAATAAGTTTTGTTGTTTAAGTCATCTGGCTCTTCGTCCACTGGTTGTTTTGGTTGAAGAACTTCCCATAGCCAGTCAGGATATTCATTGTCTGGTAACAGAGCTGGGTCAGATCCATCCTTTAAGTAATTTATACCTTGACAAAGCTTTGGCTCTCCACTACCTAGAAATGAAATAAAACAGTTTTTCTGTACCAGATCCTGTCATGCTTATGTAGTGCACAAGTCTGTTTCCATAAGCATCAATTTTGCAGCACTGAGGGATACAAAATATTGAATTGAACCAAAATAAAGCCCAACCAATTTACAAAGAAGAAGAGGGATCAAGAGGTCAGATTAACAACTAAAATGAACTATAATGCGCATTCAGGTGGCCTTGCTTTATGGTGAAAGCTTGGATGAGCCATGCTGGTTTGCCAAGTTCTGGGCATGTAGTTAAGAAATGACTGGGGAATTCTCCCAGGATGAAGCAGACTTCTCTAAATGAAACCTGATTGCCTGAATCATGTTCCAGTCAGGCATAGAGATTACTCCTGTGTTAATTGTTTAATTTGTCCTTCAACTACATTTGTAAAAGAAAACTCTAAACAAATAAACAAATAGCCACAGGAAGATCATGTCAACTCAATAAGCCAAGAATTGTGACTTCCCTAAGTATTGAGTGGCACTACATCACAGACTCCAGGTAGTAACCCAACCAGACCTTGTAGTCAATGATTGATGAGGAGTATGTGTTAAACACAGTTACACAGGGTCCCCACTTTTATCATGGAAGACCAAGACCAAGCTCATGGTAGGAATGTGACATACAGTAATTGTCCCCTCACAGCTTATCAAGAAAAGCCATAAATCAACTCTTTTCACACTCATTCAAAGCTGTTAATCGATATGTGAAATAAGAACTAAAGGCAAATTTAAAACGTTAGAAAAAAACCGGTCCCCTATAAGGTTGATGTAGAGGCCATCGTCGAATTAACCTAAGAAGGGCAACTTGGGAAGAATATAACACTACTAAATTAAAGTCCACCTTGTCACTAGTCTTTGAAAAGCAAGGAATACCTCATAGATACTAGTAATGCGATTCGATTAGGTGTTAATAAAAGGCCCTGCATTCTTAAGTTTTGTCAACATAGTCATCACTGCAAAGAGGCAAATCGATGGCGTTAAAACAATTCAAACTCCATCACTTAGTCGATTCACGGATTACACAAAGATCAAAACCTGGTTTCTTCTGCTTTCACATCGAGAGAAGGAGTAAAGCATCAGTTGTAGTCCCAATCCATATAAATTCCCTCTGGAAATGAAGGGGGACGTGATTTGAACTAATCAACTAAGCAAGCAAGCCGTGCCTGCACACGCAAGCACGAAGCAACAATCGTAACTTATACCTATGGACATCAAGTACTTTTAGTCTAACCTTACAACAAATTAACCTTTCTGAACTTTACCTGATTCACTTGAAAATAAACATGCTGGTTGAGCTGTTAAACTTGTACAAATTCTTGCTGTTAAAACCTGTTTTCTCCACAAACCTTGGATAACACATCTTACCATTGCCACCGCCATCTTGTTTTTTTACGAGCCCGCAATCTTCGCTGCCTAAATGATTTCTTTTTACTAGGGAGGGGAAGGGAAGTAGGTACATTGGTTAAGATTTAAGCATTTCCTTGATACATAAAATGAATCTATAAAATTATTTTGATTTAGAAAAGAAAAAAAAATGAAGATTCCACGAAGCATCAAAATACTAATCTAACCTTATTAACTTTAATAAGCAATAATTTCACTGTCCCCTCCCTACAAAAGAAGCTTATCACTCAGATGGTCAATACAAGATGGCGGACGAACTGGCTGAATTCGAACTAACTCGTGTTCCTTGTGAAGCAAATGATTTCAACTCTGCAAGATGTCGGATTACACCGATGATAGCAGAAAAAATAAAAGGAAAGATAAATTCGCCGGTTCGGATCGCAGTTGAATCTGGATTTGTGCTGTGTTCATTGTGGCCTCGATCTGACGGGATCAACAAATTTTTGCAGTTCGATACACTTGTTACTCTTCGAAACAACCCAAGAGTGTGCCAGATAAACAACTCTCCTATCAAGAAGAACATATCATCCGACGACATCGTTGTTATTGAGACTTTCGAGGCCAAATCAGTTGTTATTTCTCTGTATTTGTCGAATTCAGCTGAAGATTTTGATCACGGCATGACCCAAGTTACACGTGAGAATAGAAGAGAAAGAATCTCTCGAAATTTGCTACGAGGTTTAGCATTAATACAAGGTTGTGTTGTTGAGCCAAGAGAATGTAGAAACAGTCACAGCTCATCTAAAAAAATAAAAAAGATTATAATAATTGCCACAGACCCCCCAACTGCGTCTTCGGGGAATAACGCAGCAAAAGTAACTGATAAAACAGTGATAACTGTAAAGTCAGTTAGAAGGGGATGTTACCTAGAAAGCGAAAACACTCAGATTTTAGCAGGCCTTGATGATGCTGAGAAGGAATTACAAGAAGTTCTTAAATATCCATTCCATTATCCAGAATGCTTTCAACACCTAGGACTTGAATGCCCCAAAGGAATTTTACTTCAAGGAGCCCCAGGAGTGGGCAAGACACTTCTTGTTAAAAGTGTAACTTTTCAGTGTAATGCACAGTTGATTATACTGAATGGTGCTGATGTATTTGGACCACATCCAGGAGAGAGTGAGGAAAATCTGAGACAAAAATTTGAGATTGCAAGGTATTTGATTAATAGTGAATTGTCAGGGAAGCCTGTTGAAATCCTGGAGGGGGGGGGGGGGGGTAAATTTGTGACGGACTGGTGTCTCATACAGGGATGAGTCGTAATACTCCTAGTCACTTCATGCTATGGAAACTGGGATAAGCTTTGGCTTGATAGGCCACTTGCTTCTAGTGCAGAGTTTATTATGATGCTGCTACCTTCTTTTTTAGGAATGCCTCACAGCATGATCCATGTGTTTTATTTATTGACGAACTTGATGCTTTGTGTCCAAAGAGAGGAAACAATAGCAATGAACAAGAGAACAGGATTGTTGCTCAGCTTCTAACTCTTCTTGATGGTTTGGAATCCCGAGGCAAGCTTGTCGTTATTGGAGCAACAAACAGACCTAATGCTATCGATCCTGCTTTGCGAAGACCAGGCAGACTTGACAGGGAGGTCAGAAGTAACAAAACTGATTGGCATGAAAACTATAGGCTGGAATAACCTAACTAATAACTGATGCATGCCTCATCTTGAAACCAGGCCTGAAAATTTACATTCAAAACATTTTCATGGCAAACCTAGGGAGGGTTGCAGGCACTTATAAAACTTGATATGAACTATTTGTGGCAGGGTCAATTATTCCACAAGTCATAAAATGAGCAGTATGTTGGATGTTGGTAGATCCAGAGAGTGTTGCAGACAGTCTTGTGAAAATTCTAAAAAGACACTCCTGAGTTGTTGTTTTGCATTTTTCCAACTTTGCTAAAGCAGACACTGAGATAACTAGTTTGAAAGATCAAAACATTTGCATCACTCTTAGTCCCTCAAGTAATTTTTCCCTTTAATTAATATCTATAAATTATCCAGCATTCAGGTAATGAGAATAATCGATGTATGGTTATTATAGGGAGAAGCTACATGTAAATCGCTTGTGAGAGGTAATGAGTCAAAGAGTCTCATCTCTTTTCTCTCTGTTGCTTCCATGCACTGTAGATTGTGATTGGAGTACCCAATGCTTTACAGCGATTATCCATTCTAGAAGCACATACAAGTTCCTTCAAGTTAGCAGAGGAAGTAGATCTTTCGCATCTTGCCGAGCTGACAGTAGGTTATGTGGGAGCTGATATTGCTTCACTGTGTAGAGAAGCAGCATATGTAGCAATGAAAAGGATGCTGAACTTCAGCAGCAGTGACAACTTGGGCAGCTCAGGTATGCATTACATTTACTCAGACTGAAATAGAAGCTGAAAAGGAAAACTTTATCGACCATGTAAGCTACACAATACAATAAATCTATCGGTTTACCGGCCCTAATAACCCACATGATATGTTGGAAGGATGCGAGCAAAGTTTACAAACTTTTCGAGTATAATGTTTTGCAAATTCTCGGGACTTGGTAACAAATAAATATTTGGCATTATCTAGGTAAATTAACATATAGGTCACACAAGTGAAAGGCTCAACTTGTGTCTGACAGATATTGTCGCTAAAGTAACCATGGCAGATTTCCAGTTGGCTTTGTGTCATATTGTTCCATCCATGTACCGAGGATTGGAAGGAATGGTCGAATTTGATTCTGTTAGTTGGGAAGATATTGGGGGTCTTCAAGATGTTAAACAAGCATTGAAACAGGTACAGTTATGTTTTGTTATGTTTAATTATTTTTACCGAGTTCTTGTTGTGTCTTGTGTTAATTGGAAGTGGAGTGCGATTCACATTTCAAAAAAAAAAGGCCGAGTAGAAGACAGAGGTCGACATCTAAAGGAGGATGTAGTCTGGATATATCACTGAATTATCCGTACTGGGAGGGATAGATAACTTGAATAAGGAGAATTTGTGTGTTGATACTGATAAAAGCTTTTGAAGGGGGTTTATGTGGAAACAGTTTACATAAACACAAGGCAAGAGGTACAAACGCAAGGTATTGTAGGCTTTGCTTGCTGAAATATAATGTAAAAACTCTGGTCATTTTTCGCGCGTTTTCGCAGTGCCAGGAAAGAGTTAAGGCTTAAATGGAGATTTTGAGACAGAACGCAAGGCGCGAGACTCAAGGAGACTAAATCCAAAACGCAATTCATGAACGAGAAGGGAAGAATACGAAAGCAAAATGAAGGAGAAGAACGAGAAAGGAAAAGCATGAGTCACGAAGGAGACATACGCTAAACGCAAGTAGTGAACGCAGAGGGTGAGACGCGAAGGCGAAAGACAAGACTTACAGAAGAAGTTTTTTTTTAAGAAAAATATTTTATTTTATGATTGATGTAAATAAAAATTCTTAAACACTGTCTCATTTTTAGGCGATAGAATGGCCGCTCAAATATCCACAATCGTTTGAACGTCTTGGTCTTAAGCGACCCAGGGGCGTTCTTCTGTATGGCCCTCCTGGGTGCTGTAAAACGACCCTTGTGCGTGCAGCAGCCTCTTCCTGTAAATGTACCTTCATGGCCCTCAGCTGTGCACAGTTATACTCTCCTTATGTTGGAGATGCAGAACGGAAAATACGAGAGGTCAGAGGAAAGTGTGTGTTTCCAAAACGATCCGAAAAAGCTGATAATTGACGTAGCATCAGCACCGAGTCATCCTCCTCTGACAAATGGCTTATACTCAAAACGTCAGCTTCTTAAAGGACTTGACTATTTCTATCTTAAATTCGCCACGTCGTTTATCACCCTTTATCAATTTCATTGTGAAAATCAAGTGGGTGTTTCACCGGGCCCCTCAGTTTCTCTCTTTCCCCCACCCCCGTGCTGCATAACTTTTCTCATTAGAGTGCTTTACGATTTTTGTCGCAAAACAAAAACCGAAGTACACAACAGCCATTCAGAGTGCAGAAAAATACCGGAGCCCATGAGTTAAAACTAGCAAACTGCCTGAAGCGCGGGAAAAAGTGAGTGACCAAGTCGCCATTATTTAGTTTTGAATGTCATTGGTTGCAGATATGGCGCGATTGCTTTTTTAGACCAATTACGTAGAGGAGTGGTTTGCGTGGACCGGCAGTCCAGGGAACTCCTTTTTCTCATTTAAGAAATCAGTTGTCTTCCCTTTTTTTTCACCATTCAGGATTATTTGATCCTAGCTAAATACAGGATGCATAGTCACATGTTAGCCTGATTGATTGACATATTAATTCTGAATTTCAACCTGTGTACTGTTTTCCCTCAGTTATTTACCAAGGCCCGGGCGACGGCTCCGTCAATTCTATTCCTTGATGAATTGGACGCAATCGTCGGCAAACGATCTGGGACGAGCAGTACTGGGGTAGAGGCGCGACTGCTGTCAACTCTGCTGAATGAGATGGATGGTATCGGGGTATTGGCGAATATCTACCAAGCAGAGGAAGGAAAATCAAATTTTTCACTACAGACAAAAGATAGCGACTCTTGTAGCGAACAGTTGATGAGAACCGAGTTAGGATCAGTAGAGTACGGCAATGTGGAAATATCACTGAAAACTCGCAGATTGAATATTATCAGCTCTTCGACTGTGAAAGACGTTCTCGTTGTCGCAGCTACTAATCGACCTGATGCAATCGACGAGGCCCTTCTCAGACCGGGTCGAATCGATCGCATCATTTATGTGCCACCGCCAGACGTAGAGGCGAGGTTACAAATCTTAAGAGTACACACTCGTTCCAGTCCTTTAGCAGAGGACGTAGATTTGGAAGAATTCGCCTTGAAAACCGAATTGTTCTCAGGTGCTGACCTCGAGAATCTCTGTAGAGAGGTAAGATATTGGATGTCAAGGTCTGATTTGAAACTCTTTATCTTAGCTGTCCTACATTTCCTTGTAATTAGTTGGGAGAATTTTTCGAGATGTGATCAACACACTATATGACTGAAAGTCTCTGTTTTCTCGTAACCTTTCTGTTAGATAACGAATGAAAATCGTGGAAAAAAGATAATTGATCATCTCTCCTAGGAGTTAAAAGGTTAAACCCTTTTCACTCTTAATCAGTATCATATTCTACACGCTGTTCTCTGTACATTTCCTAAGGTGCAGAAAATCAATACCTTCTTTAGTTAGTGATCATTTGTTTCATTTTCGTGGCTTAAATGTGTGATTCAGGGGAGATATTGTAAGGAGAAGTTAGATGTTAGTTACTCTTGGGGGTCAAATAGTTAAGGATAACATGTGGAAAGAAGTTTTCATCGAACTATTTCTTTCATTTGACTGAAGGAAACTGGTACAAGAGTTAACAACGAAAGGAATCTTAAAATTAGTGGAAAAAAAGACAACAACAGTAAGGGAAAAAAACAAACAAACAAAAAAAAAAAACAGGAAAAATGAAAAACCAAAGCATTGTGCGCCTATTTTCAATTAAGGTAACGGATTCGAAAACCTGTACAAGACGCAAAATATCTGGAGAATACTTCTCTTTTTTTTTCAAATGTAAACTTTTGCTCCTCTTTGACATTTTTTCCGTGAAATAAATCCGAATTTTGTCTTTCATTTTCAACCTATGCTTATATTAATTTTGGTGACTCATTTATTTGCTTTATTTTTCCTTATTAGGCCGCTCTTTATGCTCTTGAAGATGGAGGAATGTCAGTGAGTAAGGTGGAACATAAACATTTTATTGAAGCTCTTTGTACAGTCAAACCCTCCCTCACAACCACACAGCTACACAAGTGTAAACTACTGGAGCAGAGATGAAATTTAAGCGATCAATAAGGTTCCCATATAAACTGATCCTAACAAGATGTATTTGAAAAAAATCATGCGCAAAAGTTGATAGATCACTATATAGAAGCATATTGAGTTAACGAGACCAAACTAAAAGTAAGGTGAATTTGCTTATCTCGTCAGAAATGTCGTGACGAGAGCCATCCATCTCAACATGTTTGCGATGTTTACAAAGTTGCTGGAAGAGGAAAGAGGAAAATTGAGGAGGCTTTAAAAAAAGCGGGAAACGAGATCGTCGATTGTGAAGACGAAATAGGGAAGAATACATATATTCTTCAAAGTAGAGGAAAACAAGTTGAAGCGGCCCGCAGAAATGTGGCAGCGAATTGTAGATGAATTGATTAAAGTTTTAATAGCTGCTGAAAAGCTTTGGTTATCCAATTTTAAAAGGATGTCCTTCGTTTGCAATTCATCATGAAGACAAGTTCTATGTTTTTTACCAGAAGAACCACTGCGTACTGGTTTTCAGTAATGATAGAAACATCCCCTAGAGCATAGGCAAACTGACGGCAGATAGGGTGAAGGGCCTAAAATTCTCTTCAGGTCTTGCTGTCGATAAGTTCAACAACTTGATTGTTTGTGACACTCAGGCCAGCCGGTTGCAGGTGTTTTACCTTGGAAGGAGAGTATCTTACAACTATTCTTGGCTTTTGGTCCCCGCAGTATGTTGCTGTTTCTAAGAATGGACATCTTTATGTTGCCGACGGGAGGGACTTTGTGTTTGTTTTGAAGTAAATAGTGCATAAAGTTGCCGGAAGCTTTCGTGAAGTTAGAAGGTGCCTCATAATTTGCGCAAAGAAAAGAAGACATGTTATCAAATCAAAGAGGGCATAACAGGAGATCAGCTACTTAGTTAGCTGTTTTGTAAAGTGAAGGACGACGTTTGACTACAAATGATATCAAATGTGAGAGTTGTCTATTCACAGTAACATCATCAGGGGTGTATTATTAGGTTTTATTATATATTAGGTTTACATCTTCCCTTGAAACAATAATAAAATGTTTTTGGTGCTGTAACTGCTTGAGCCTGAGGACGTTTTTTTTTGTCTTTAGGAAGACATGGCATCTGAAAAGCGAAAGAAAGAAACAGTTTGTCAGTAGTGCTTAATAAATCCTTTGTAGATTGAGAGACCATTGTTGCAAGTCGTTGAAAAAATCAGCATGGCACAAGCGTAACCTTAGTTGCTGGGGATTTTGCGCGCTCTATGAGTTTAAATAATGAAGGTGGTAGACCTGCTTAAAAGAATAACTGGGGTTTATTTCAGGAATCACAGCTGATAACAAAAGCCTTGAGATTTTCACAGGCTTGCGAGTAGCGATGGATAGAAGAAATGTTCATTATTGAGTCGGAGCGGTGTAATTGCGTTCAATGTTATTCGCCTCCTCCATCAGCTGTGTCTGGTCTTTGCAGCGTGACACTTTCAAGGGTTACAATAAACTCGACGGATTTAACAAAAGTTGTGCCTTCTCACTACGAAGTACACGAAAATTACCTGCGGGTTTAACTATGTTTTCAGTGTGTTGCCTTGACTGAGAAGATGGTTTATCACATCCTGCTCAGAAGAACAGATCCGGATGGCTTCCTGCAAGTCACGGCTTGTTGCTTCTGGGAATAAAGACTGCAAATGTTGCTGCAAGCTACTTCTACTTCCGTCACCAAGGTCTCCTCCCTCAGTTGTATCTTGAAATTCATCATCAGACAATTGGCGAGTTCTTATATGTTGATTGGCAAGATGATTGCGAGCTATGTTTCGTAAGACTGCTCTTCTTTCTGCACTTAGCAGAGGAGTTCCTCCGTGGGAAGTGAACTTTAGGAGAATCACAATCAGGCATATGCCAACGATTATAACCACCACATAATACCTACAAACGATCAAGCAATCCGTTAGCAAGACAGTGAAGAATGAATAATTTTTTATCCTTACGTGATTCATCGTTAAGTTAGGTGATGCATGATCTGCTATATTGCCCTATTTTTTTTTGGCGAGGTAAGCATCTATCAAAGTTTTTGTATTCAAATATAGGGTGATTTTTTGTCCGCTTTCTAGATACCTCATGTAATGAAATCCGAAACTACAGTAGAGATTCGGAAACGTTCATTACGTTAGAACTTGTTAATTAAAAAAACCGGTGATAGAAAATGGTTTGATTGACTAGTTTTCATTAAATATTTGAGGTGTGTACGTTCGAGAATGTGTAATCATATGAAGAGCAAAAATGGAAACTGCAAACGTCTTTTGAGTTCACAAATAGTTTATTACCAGAGGATATTCACAGGCTGTAGAAATTTAACAAAGTTCAGTTACTTTTAGCCAAAGTAGTTTATTTGAGATTTCAAATCTTTGATAATCATAATTTACGACACTCCTTGAGATCGAGAATTGTACATTCGGCCTATGAGGAACAATTATAATCTTCGATCGCATTGAGACTCTTTGGAAATGAAATGGATATAGATCGTGTGATCGTATACAATGGAGTGACTAGATATGAGTTAGCCACAGTGAGAAGACTTTTTTGCTTTGGCAGCATTAAGATCGAAGCCTTTCGGTTTTATGCAGTCAACTCTCAATACTCCTGGTATAAAATTTTACAATCTGTCACTGCAATTGTAAGCATGCCAACATTTGACAAAAAAACTAGGAGTTTATGGGTTGGGATTGCTCATCGATCCAGTTCCATGCGAATTTGTCTTGATGATGATTCAAATTTAGGTCTTTTTGAAATTTTGGGAGTCGTGACTTCAGCAACCGGCTGGTATAAAAGATTTCAAATCTGTCAACAAGTAATCAACAACCATTTCGAAAAACATTTTCCACAAGTCCGGTGGAAGCAGGTGTGAATAGCGAAGGAATTCCGCCCACTTGGTGTTTTCAACATACGAATTGGTCATTAAGCATGTGGTGTAAGACTGGTCTCAAAGAAATGTGTGAAGAATTTATCTCAGTTTTTCAATTTTCTTCAAGACAAATTACTCTGTGAAATTATGTAGAGAGCTTTTACTGATGGAGCACAATGAAGCAAGGTATCCCTCGTGTGCGTACTTGTGGAATACTTAAGCAACAGAGTACCGCAATAGTTTCCTGGCGTAGTTTTGATTCCTAAATGTGATTGTGATGTTTGATCCCTAAATGTGGAAATTAAGTTGCTTTCGCATGAACATGTGAATGTTTTCCTAAGTGGCTGCCGGCTGCTTCGCGAGTAACCTTAATATCTCCACTTTTATTTAAATAACAAATCAAGAGAGGCACTTTTTGCGTTGCATTTCGTGTTCCTTTTTGC